GCCCCAAACCTTAGGGGTCCCATATTTTGAGTGTCCAAAAAGAGGCCACTCCACGGGGCCCAGGCCCAGCCCAAAGTCCCCGCCCCAACTCTGCCCCCTCCCCTGCTTCCCGCGAACATTTGATTCGTGGGAAGCCTGAAGCAGGCAGCAGGTAAGCTGGGGTGGGGTGGGGTGGGGGGAGGAGGCGTGGCCCAGTCTGCCCCCCCGCCCCCGCCCCAACCGAGCGGCTCCCTCCGGCGGCCGGCCCCGGCCCCTGCATCTCCAGCCTGGCTCGGCTCGGGCCCTGGGGTGCCGGCCCCAGGCCGGCCCCCGGCCTAGTGCCCCAGCCCCCGGCCCAGCGCCCCGGCCCCCAGCCCAGCACTCCCGGCCCCAGCCCAGCACCGCCGGCCCCAGCCCTAGCCCAGCACCGCTGGCCCCGGCCCCCGGGCCAGCACGCCCAGCCCGGCCCAGCACCCAGCGGCACCGGCCCCTCCCTAATTTCCCGGACATGTTCGGCTTTTTGGGATTTCCCCCCGGACGGGGATTTGAGGCCCAAAAAGCCGGACATGTCTGGGAAAATCCGGACGTATGGTAACCCTAACAAAACTACCTGATCTCCTCCAGCAGGAAAGGCATCAGTGGTTTCTACACGACCCCTTTACTCCCATACAGCCCCTGGTGCAGCGGGTGTGCCAGGGAAGGAAGGGAGCACAGCCAGACCACTCTTGCAGTCCCTGGCTGATGGACAGCTGATTGGGAGCCATAACCAGCTGGTGTATATCAAAGCAGCCCTGAGGCTGTTCTAATCTAAACTACACCGGGGCTTGGGGCTGTGTAGAACCCGCCCGTGGATCTGGGAGCCACAGCTTGTGCTGTGAGTCTCAGGAGCCTGGCCCCTTGCATCCCAGGGAAATATCACCCCAAGGAAGGGCAGGCAAACTACCAAAACTGCCCTCCCTCACGTTTTTCTGGTGGGGGGAGGGGGCATCTTGTGTTTTGTGACCGGTGCCCTGCCAGTGTAGGCCTCCAGAGGGGCGGTTGCGGGTAGTTCCCAGTGACGCACCCTCCCCTGGTAGATTTTCTGCCCAGGCGTTCCTGCGCCTGGGTTGATGCCAGCAGAAACTATTTCTGAATACGGCACGCATTAACACACATGCCAGGGCAGGCAGGGTCAGTGCTGCTCTGTCCTCTCTCCCCATTCTCTGAACCCAGCTCCTCTACCTGCACCGTCACTGCTCTCTGCAGAAACCTCATTGCTGGGCGGCAGGATTGGGACGTCCTGCGATATCAAAATGAAATAAACCAGTCACCCCCCGCATCTCCTAAGCCCAACCATTCCTGCCTTCCTCCTGTTGATCTTCCTCCTTATGCCGCTTCCCAACGGCAATGCTATGAATTAGAATTCTTTAAATCTCGGGGAGGGGAGAGGGTTTAAACAAAAACCAAGCTTTTGAGCCCATGTCCGCAGACAGAAACCGACAGCCGTAGCAATATTCAGCTATATGGCATGAAGGAGGGTGTCCATCTGCGTGTGGAGGAATGCATTGCAAGCTTCCGATCTCATCCGGACAAGTGAGGTGTCAATCAAATTCTATTAGGCTGCGGATGCTCATGCCATCAGAAGAATTTGGTTGAGAGCCAGATCCCCAGAAGGTATAAATCAAGCTCCATTCAAGTCAATGGAGCTACACCGATACACGCCAGCTCAGGATCTGGCCCTATAATTTGTAAGGAATTTTAACTGGTTACAGGACGCAACTGATTTAAGAGGGAGGGCAGAGGGTAAAGAGGGAAAAGATGCTGTGCAGCTGATTTCACTTTGATGCATGCATTTGCAACGTTAGGTATATTGGGGTAAAGATGTCAAAAATCCACGGTGTAGGTTGTCTCAGTCCCCAATACCCTGAGTAATGAGCTAGTCTTCCTTGAAACAGAAAGGGGAAGCGTGCCACCAACACCTTCCCCATAAAACTCCTGCTGTGGTTGGAGATCAAGGAACAGGTCAGGGAGCGCTCACAACCAGCTTCCCCATGAGAGCTGAACCAATTCTTGTTTTTTCAGGTCTGTGGCTGGACTGACAGCTCCAGGGAGAGGAGGGGAGAGGTGAGTTTTGTTTGATTAGAAACAAAACCGATTTTTTTTTCCTCCGCAAAACAAAAAACCACAACCACTTCGGTTGGGTGAAACGAAATGCGTTCAACAGTGGTTCAAAACAACGTTTTCTTTTGAAAATCTAGTTTTGAAAGGGAATGTCAAAACAAATCATTGACATTTCTGAGTTGGTTTTCCAATTGTTTTCGATGAATTTGCAAAGAGTGTTGGTGCATTTTTTCAGTGAATTTCATATTTGGCAAAAAAATAAAAAGTCACCCAGCTCTATTCCTCGGAAATAGCTCTGCAGCTGCCCCTGGGATTATGCGCCACCTTATGTGTATCTTGTTTTCAGATTAATTTGGTATTAATAATCATGCTAACTTTATTTAAGGGATTCAAGCAAAAATAATCATCTCACTAGAGATTTCAAGGCCTGTAATCATCTAGTCCAGTGGTCTCCAAGCTTTTTTACGCCCAAGATCACTTTTTGAATCCAAGGGCAACCCAGGATCTACCCCGCCCCTACCCCAAGGCCC